CACCCCATTCTTGGTTTTGCCCGCGCACAGTGAAACCTTGTTCATTAGTCACATAATCTGGCGCCGCGCGACATTAGTCTTGGAAACTAGCTCCACCTCCTATCCTTCCGGTTACCTTCTTTTATTTTCTACATCCGACTATAGCCATGGCGGCGAGCCTTCAATCTTCTATTCAAACCGCGAGCATTAGAGTACCGGTCACACTCCACGTGCCTCCGCAGAGGCTATCCCTGCCAAACTCCTTTCTCCCGCCTCTCTCTCCCCGCTTCTCTAGCCATGCTGACCGATGCGCGGACGCGCGGGATTCGCGGCGAGATGCACTGCACGGTTTACAGAAAGATCGCGCTGGCGGCGCGAAAACCGCAGCGCGGATGCAGTTTGGCGAGTTCGGAGAGTTTGAGCATGTCGAGTCAGCGTTTGACTACACTGACGAGGAGTTTTCTCGCGCCACCGTGCTCGAAGCGAGTGAGTCTGCTTCACAACGCGCATGTTCTCTTCACGGCGCGTGACGTTTCGCTGCAGAGAGGCTGCGTTATGAGCACGGGCTCCGTTACAAACACGTGCTCCGAGTACGACCACGGGTTCCGTTTTAAACGCAAGTGTACGTAGTGACCGTTACAAGCACGGGATTGGTTACGAGCACGCGACTGCTCACCTTTCCCCGTCCGTTTCCCGCGCCGCCTTCTACCCCACGACCCTACCCTCCATTGCAGCGAGTGCCAGCAGCAGCGGAGACACGCTGTTGGTGGGAATGACGGACGGCATATCGTTCAAGTGCTCGCACAGCCTCATGGACGGGGTGCGCCTCCCTACCTTCCCCTTACTCATTTTTCCTGTACTGCTTTCCCCACCGTCTCTCTCCTTTTCCACCCCCCTCCCTCCTCCCATCCCGGCCGCACCGTGCAGCGAGTGTCAGCAGCAGCGGCGACGCGCTTCTAGTCGGCATGACGGACGGCATATCGTTCAAGTGCTCGCACAACCTCATGGACGGGATTCGCCTCCCCGAATACCCTGCGCAGCCGGCGGCTGTTCTTAAACTCGAAGACGGCTCGCGTATCCTCCTCCCCATCCTCATTCGTGAGTGCTGGCTTGAAGCTTAACGCGATTCTCGGTATCGAGTACACGTTGTGGAAAAGCCCCTCTCATGGTGAGGGTGCACCTGTGCCTCCGCGCATCCGGCCCGCCCCGCCGTGCTGGAGATGGAAGACGTCCGCGGCGCAGGTCGGGGGAAGGGGAAACACGGGGGAAGGGAAGGGGAGGGACGGGGGAAGGGGAAGGATGGGAAAAGGCGACGACGGGGGAAAAGGGGAAGGAAGGGGAAAGGCGAGGGACGGTGGAAGGGGAGAGGGAAGGTGACCGGTATATTCCTCCCTATTTCACACTTGCTTCCTGCTCGTTTCTCATCTGCTCCGCGCCTTTCAGCAAAATGCGCATCGACTCGAGTCATCTTCCCCCTTTCCGTAGCCCTTCCCGTCTCTCCCCTCTTTTCCTTTCCCCCACTGCAGCGCACCTCTCCAGCCAAATGCTCATCGACTCAGTGTCTCCCCCGTCTCCCCTCCCCCCGTTTTCCCCCCTTCCGTTCCTTCCCCCTCTCCCGTGCTTCTCTCCTTCCCCGTCCCCCATCTGCAGCGCACCTCTCGAGCCAAATGCTCATTGACTCGGTGCGCGGCGTGCCTCTGGTGAGTTGACGGTACCTTTTATGACGGTAAACGGTGTGAGTATTACGAGTGTAGAGCTGGTGCGTTTGATGCTGGTAGAGCTTTAGCTTGAGAGTTCAAAATGCTTATATCGGGACGGAGCTGTTCAAGGCAGGACTGCAGAACGAGTGTTATTATCGTGTTTAAAATCCACGCTTCTAGTGCAAGCCACATGGTGAGATCGAAATCTAATCAGTACTTTGTTGTGTGATTGTGTATTACTATGCTGACGTGGCAGGCTCGGCCAACGGTATACATGCTAATGCGGGATATGATTGAGCTGATGGGATATGAGGTAAGGTGGTGTGATTGGGTGACACTATGGAATGTTAGGTGGATTGATTGGAATTTAGGGCGAGACAGTGGGATGTGAACTAGTTCACTGGTGATTGTCAAATGCTAATGTAGTTCACAAATCCAACCCAACAGGCTTAGCTGCTGATTTCCAAATTTTTTTTGTTTAACACCACAAACTGAAGTTTTCACGTCCGTCCATCCCCCCGCCCCCTTGTTTCTGCCTGCAGATCAGTTTGATTCGCATCACCCATCGAGACGGGGATGCCTACTGTGCCCGGGCCTACCTATCCAAGGTCAGTCCGGATCTTTTTACGACTCCTTCAAAGTTCAATCAATGCGCATCACCACCCATTGGTGCAGATCATACTATGCCCGGATCTCTAGAGTTCATTTTGGTGCGCACCCATCAAGTCAGGGATGCCTGCTGCAGGGCTTATCTCTCCAAGGCCAGCCTTGCTTTTTTCTAGGCCAGAGTCGAATTGGGTGTGCATCACCCATCGAGAGGGGGATGCCTACTGCGGCGTTGACAGTGGCAGCAGCAAAAGCAGTGGTCCCGGTACTAAGGGTGCAGGGCATGCAGCCATGCATAGTTGATTTGACTTATTTGTTTCGACTTCATTGTTTCCACCCCCACTCCCTCCCACAACAGGTTTCTGCTGGCAACACAGCCACCAGCACTGGGAACAGCAGCAGCGGGCCTGCCATGATGAGTCTGGACATGCGGCCATCCGATGCCATCAACCTTGCAGCACGCGCCAAGGTGGGTCAATGTAGCATTGTACCAACATGCGTGTGGTTCTGACGACGGGTGTGAGTGAGACAGGTGGGGTCGTTGTGGTGAGATACAGTGGCAAAGAAAGGAATGAACAGCAACCATGAATGGCGAGAACCAGATCCAGTGAAGAATCAGGGCAGTGGTATGGGTAGGGGACAGGGACAAGGGGCAGGGGCAGGGACTGGAATACGGCGCAGGTAGAGGGGGCAGGGGGTTCTTAGCTTGGACACAGGCTTTCAGGTAGTCAGGCTTACAAAATTCTTCTTGCTCCTCAGCAGGGTGTTCCCATCCTGCATCGCCATTGCATCAGGCGCTTATTCAGGTGTGTTTCTGTTGTTTCAGGTGCCGATTCAGGTGCGGAAATCCCTGGCGGTGGCGGACGGAGTGCGGATAGTCGGGATGGTGCGGGCGGCAGTGGCACCTGGGTATGGTGGGCGGCTGCTGAGACGGCAGCCGAGAGTGGTGCTGACGTCAGATGACAAGTGAGTGGTGGGATCAACTATGATGCTGACGGAGCATATGGTGTGACGGAGCATATGGTGCTGCCTGAATAAGAATACGTGAAGCCGATAGTAGGTTCGAGTGAGGAGGAAACAATCCACGTTCCCTCCTCAGAGCAACCAAACAAAAGAACGCATTGCTCCATCCTCGTTCCCTCTCTCCTCTTCCTATCCACTCTCATCCTCTCCCTTCTTCCCGCCCACTTCCCCGCAGGCCTGATCTCGAGGACCAATCACTGGCGGACGAGTTTGCCCTGGTGAGGCTGATGGAGGAAGCAGCGCAGCTTGAACTAATGGTACCATCTCTGCACCCTTGTCTGCTTGCCTCCCTCTCCCGCCCCCCTCTCCTCGTTTCGTGTTCCACAGGCCAGATTTTGAGGACTTATCACTGGCGGACGAGTTTGCGTTGGTGAAGCTGATGGAGGAAGCAGCGCAGCACGAGCGATACGGCGATGCAGCGAAGATCAAGGACCAGCTGACGAAGCTGCGGCGGAGAACTAACAAGGTGAGAAGCGGAGAGGGAGAGAGATCGAGGGTTTAGGGTATAGGGGCGGAGGTATAGCAGGATGGAGGAAGGAAAGAGAGGGGGAGGGGAGGGGGAAGGGGAAGGGGGGGAAATAGAATGTAGTAGCTTTCTGAAGTGGCAGGCAGATGTTGTTGTGTTACAGTTCATAAGATATGTCGCTGCCAACAATCTTTTGATACTCAACCTCCAGGGTGGTCACACTTCTGCAGTGTAAACCGCCTGATGAGTGCTGCTGAACCACGGGTCCACGACTCCTAACCCTTGTGGTTTGTCCCTTTTTGTCCCGTTTTGTTCCCTTTTGTCCCTTTTTGTTCCTTTTGGTCCCTTTCATTGTTCCTTGATACTACGCAGGTGTAGAGCTGTCCGTTTGACTATTGCAGTGGCACTAGGAAGATGGGGGGTGCGCCCTGCCCTCTGTACATTAGGGGTTGCCTCTCTCTCACTACCTATCTACAGCAAACATGTGTTGTCTATGTGCATTTGTCCTAATAGGGGGGCTTCCATGCTAGAGAATTTGCGTGTTTTTTTTTCAGAACCAAGCAAATGTATAGTGCTGGTATGTGTGTCAATAATGTGTACATTTCTCTTTTGCATGGAGGGTTACCACAGCGAGGGATTGCTTTTTTAAAGTGCTTGTCTTATGATGTTTTAGTACTAGAGTACGTACGGTAGTAGGTAAATCTGCCTGGTGGTTTCTACCAACGCAGGAGTTAGTGTTTCAATGTTGACCTTCGCTTCGCAATAACTCATATTTTTAGCACTTGTGGTATGAAGCTGCTCGACTCTGTAGTGTACAAATGTCTTGGTTTCGACAACCTTCAAATGAATTTGTCACCTGTACCGCGTGGATGGATTTCACTTCACATCTACGCATCAGGCATGCGTGATTGCCAATATAATAAATTGTTTCCATGTATATTTCCCAGTGCCATATTTACCTGCATACCGTACTCACCTAAAAGCACCGCCCGCCCTTCTTTCCACCCAAACCAGAGCTGCTAGCCAATCAAATGCTACGAGCCAGATTTTTGCTTCTGATTGCCATTCAGAAGTTACATGCCACCAAGAATCGCTGCTAGCCAATCACTGCCTTTGCACAGGCCATCAAGAAAGTCTGCCAACCGATTATTGGGGTTGCATGCCACCAAGAATCGCTGCTACCCCATCACTACCTTTTCGTGCCACCAAGAAAGTCTGCCAACCGATTATTGCCTCTGCATGCCACCAAGAAACGCTGCTGGGTCGGGGCACGATCCTGTGAGCTCTGCTCCAGAGAAGTCAAACCCGGGATTCTGCTATGCGTGGGGAGGGGAACACAGAGGGCACAAAAAGAGGGAGCACACGGGAATTTGTGAGCTCTGCAACCAAGAAGTCAAACCCCGGATTCTGCATTGTGTAGGGAACAGCACAGGAGCAACGCACAGAATCAAAAGGGAATGTGAATAATAAGTGAAGGCAGCCTGTGCGCAGAATCAAAAGGGAAGCTGACAAGATGCGAAGTGAAGCTGACAGACAGTTTGAGTGGAAAATCAGAATTGCTCCAGCATGAGCAGCCTGGACCCCTGGTCTGCAGAGAAAGCACCAAGACTGCGCCCCTTGATTGCACCTGGACTGTACCCTTCACTACAGATAACCCCCACAGCGCCCACACTGTGCCTCCTGCCCGTGCCAACCAACCTCTGTCCACCCACCTCTATTTGGAATCGCTCCAGCAAGAGCCGTCTCGACTCCTGGTCCGCAGAGAACGCATCCAAAGTGTGCCCTAAAATGGCGCCTGGCCACGGCTTGCCTCGTTCGGCCTTTTGCAACGAGATGTGGAGCTCGGCGCCCTCTGTGGGATGCGGAAATGCAGGGGGGGTTGTGATTGGCATGCAAAGCTTTCATCAGCCTTTTGGAATGAAATGCGGAGCTCAGAGCGGTCTGTGGGATGAAGAGAGGTGGCGAGAAGAGAAGGAGAAAGCATCCAGACTGTGCCCTTTGTTTGCACCGCCCGGCCACGGCTTGCCTCTCTGTGGGATGCAAAGAAGTGAAGACGGGAGAAGGCATGCGAAGAGGTAGGGGAGAAGAACAGAAGTAAACAGGTAGGGGAGACGAGGAAAGGGCATGCAAAGACGGGCGATGAGGAGGAAACCTCCACTTGATTGCGTCTGGCCACGGCTTGCCCCACCCGGCCTTTTGCAGTGAAGAGTGGAGCTCAGTGCCCTCTGGCATGTGCCAATGCAGGGAGGAGTGGAAAGGCATGCAAGTTGGTAACGCTTTTGCTCTTTGCAACGAGATGTGGAGCTCTGTGGGTCGTGAGAATGCAGGGAGGAGTAGGAGGAATGGCACGCAAACTAGGGCTTTCTAAGGCTTCTTGCAACAATATGTGGAGCTCAGTGCCCTCTGTTACATGCAAACTAGCAAGAGAGAAGAGGAGGAGGCATGCAAGCATGGGAAGATGAGGAGGAAATGGCATGTAGACCCCTTTATTGCCTGAAGCCCCAGCCTACCTCACTCATCTTTTGAAAGAAGGAACTGAGTCGCAGCATGAAACTTCGCATCATGCAAACCCTAATGAGCACAGAAATGGAAAAATAACTCTACTTATCAATGCAAGAAGACAATATCAGAGTGCGCGAACAGAACGGAAAGAAACAAGTTTGAAATGAAAGAGGGAAAACGATCCAGAGCGGGCTATCTGGAGCTGCGACTCACCAATAGTCCAGAAGCTGTCGTCCACCTTCACAGCCCCGGCTAGGCTGTGAAAAACTTAATTCAACTGACTTTTGAGTCGACTCAAAAGTCACCTGTAAGATGGAGAAGGGGGAAAGGAGCTGCGACTCACCAATGGTCCAGAAGCTGTCGTCCACCTTCACAGCCCCGGCCAGGTCGTGCTGTCAGCCACGTGGGTAAGAGCAAGGCAGAGGATGTGAGAGGGTGGTAAGAGCAAGGCAGAGGATGTGAGAGGGTGGTAAGAGCAAGGCAGAGGATGTGAGAGGGTGGTAAGAGCAAGGCAGAGGATGTGAGAGGGTGGTAAGAGCAAGGCAGAGGATGTGAGAGGGTGGTAAGAGCAAGGCAGAGGATGTGAGAGGGTGGTAAGAGCAAGGCAGAGGATGTGAGAGGGTGGTAAGAGCAAGGCAGAGGATGTGAGAGGGTGGTAAGAGCAAGGCAGAGGATGTGAGAGGGTGGTAAGAGCAAGGCAGAGGATGTGAGAGGGTGGTAAGAGCAAGGCAGAGGATGTGAGAGGGTGGTAAGAGCAAGGCAGAGGATGTGAGAGGGTGGTAAGAGCAAGGCAGAGGATGTGAGAGGGTGGTAAGAGCAAGGCAGAGGATGTGAGAGGGTGGTAAGAGCAAGGCAGAGGATGTGAGAGGGTGGTAAGAGCAAGGCAGAGGATGTGAGAGGGTGGTAAGAGCAAGGCAGAGGATGTGAGAGGGTGGTAAGAGCAAGGCAGAGGATGTGAGAGGGTGGTAAGAGCAAGGCAGAGGATGTGAGAGGGTGGTAAGAGCAAGGCAGAGGATGTGAGAGGGTGGTAAGAGCAAGGCAGAGGATGTGAGAGGGTGGTAAGAGCAAGGCAGAGGATGTGAGAGGGTGGTAAGAGCAAGGCAGAGGATGTGAGAGGGTGGTAAGAGCAAGGCAGAGGATGTGAGAGGGTGGTAAGAGCAAGGCAGAGGATGTGAGAGGGTGGTAAGAGCAAGGCAGAGGATGTGAGAGGGTGGTAAGAGCAAGGCAGAGGATGTGAGAGGGTGGTAAGAGCAAGGCAGAGGATGTGAGAGGGTGGTAAGAGCAAGGCAGAGGATGTGAGAGGGTGGTAAGAGCAAGGCAGAGGATGTGAGAGGGTGGTAAGAGCAAGGCAGAGGATGTGAGAGGGTAAGCACGGAAGGGTACTGCAGTCTTTTTTCCAAAACAAGTAGAACCGCGGCAGGCATAGAACCCTCTTTAAGAACGAAAGCACAAGCATTCAGTGTGATGCTGCTCGTTATTAGCACACCGCATCATTCCTCACTGTGCCGTTTGGTAATCAGTCACAATCTCACACTCATGCGACCATGCGATGCGGAGTTGCCATCAGACACCATACCATAATCCGCTCAGGCAGCTTAGCAGACACCACACCATCACATAGTCACGCAGATAGGTGATGTGCCGTTGCGATATTTCGTGTAAGGGGGGTTTAGGAAACATACATCCAAGTAAGGGGGGTTGCCCTTGATGCCGACTGTGACGTGCCGCTGCGATATTTGGCATGTGAACAGCTTTTTGGGCACTCCTTCGGGCAGCGGAACGAAAATCTCTATCTCGTCAACTGTCTGGTCCCACTCATAGATGGTTTGGCCTGTGGGGTATAAAAATGGGGGGGAGAATCCAAATAGGAAATACGGGGAAGACACATCGGGTGGGATGGGCTCATGCTTTTCTCGTGGAAAGCAATCCTTCTGGTTCAAATCACAGTTTATGGCCTGTGGGGTCAATGATGGGAGGGATAACCCACAGAAGCGTGTGAGGAAAACGCGTGGGACGGACTCTTTGTTTTTTCCCACAAAAGCAACCCCTCTGGATTCACTCATGCACTTGGTATGCGGGGAGGTGGAAGTGATAGAAAGAAAAGGGAGAAACATGCAATATCTGCTTTAAACATGCGAAAACGCACTCATTGTACGCCTTTTGAGGCGCCTCATTGGACAGGAACTTGACTGTTGAGACGTCACAAAAACCTTCAGCAGCTCGCCTCTTTCAATGCAACATCCAAGCAGCTAGAAAACGCCATACATCTCACCGATGTGGACGAATTTGGAGCTTTAATCTCACCGTTGTGAACGAACTTGAACCGCTTGTCTGGAGCGAGCCTGTCCGACATGGCATCACCTGCTGCTGCTGTCGCCGCTGCTGGTGCTGCTGCTGATGTTGATTATGATCTGGTAGTAATGCTGCTGCTGATGCTGTTGCTAAGGGTCTAGCGAATTGTCATTATTAGCAATAATCATCCTCGCTATGATAGCGCGCGATTTGATCGCTATAGAATTCGCCTTCCGCACGTTACCTAAGCTGCAAAACCTATGAAACAAGAGTGCGATGTGACTACGGAGTGAAACATCTTACGACTTTATTTTTTCTAACTTGCTTCGAAACTACAAAACTAGCATCCGCACCCGCTGGTGAATCCATACGAGAGATCTCCAGACAAAAAGAAAATGGGGAGCAGAAACGCGAGAAATGGCCGAAAGGGAGATGGAACTGTAGAGCCCTTGCAACCATGTTCCGTCTGGGAGCACGTTCCGTCTGAGAGCGTTGCGCTTTCCTCATACGGTATCATTTTGTCTACAACTAAAATGCTTAAAGTCTACCCACACAAATACCGTACTTGTAGGCAAATGCTTAATATCCAAGACAGCTATGAAGGTACCGCAAAATATAATGACTATCAAAGTGTAAAACATAATAGGCAGATGTCATTATTATCGTACTCATGTGCCACTCACACATACACACACACACACGCACACACATGCACACGCAGGTGAGAACACACACACACACACACACACACACACACACACACACACACACACACACACACACACACACACACACACACACACACACACACACACACACACACACACACACACACACACACTTAATATTGCTAACTGAATGGAAAATGAGAGATGGGAGCACAGAATGGAGGAGAACCAAGAGATTAGAGGCTGAATAAGGGCATGTTCCTACGGCCCCTTATCAGGCCAACCTCTTATCAAGCTCGCGTCAAAACACACTGAAAATTCCCTAAACCCGAAAACCCTCGCTAATTCTACCAGGCAAGGCTGACAAGAGGTTTGCCTGATAAGAGCGTAGGAACATGCCCTAAGAGAGGTAGAACTAACTTGACGCAAATGGCAAATCCCATGGACCATCGCAGTACTTTGATGCCAATCACTCCTCCCCAGGCTGCATCAGGCTTGTCTAAAGGCACCACGTCAACGGTAGACTCTACCATTGTCTTCTATCTTCAACGAAGAATCATCTTCAACTGCTGGTCTTTATTCTCCACAAGTCCAATGATTAGCGCATACACGAGAAGGAATATATGTCACTCGTTGCAGGTCTGTTGGTGGCACACAAAGAAGTAGGTAGATACAGGGAAACGGAAACAAACTTGAGAACTGGGTTTCCATGGGATAAAGTCAGCCTTAGAAACAATAAGGACGTTGAAACAGCGCAAGAAAAAAAAAAGATTTTTGGAAAAACATAAGCTTGTGTGCTCGACTTACGTGACGCCCGCTGCAGTGATGCTGGTCAGCGACAGGTAGGAGAGCGTAGCGAACGCGCCAACGCAGTTTGGATAATGATAAAGGATGATTTTCCTGCAATCACCAGCTCCTCCGGGTGCATGGTCCACGCGCCAGTATGATTGGTGAATGAACGCAACTGGCTTAGGCACGTTGGTGCATGAGGTGTAGTTGAGGCGCGTGGTGTAGGTGTAGAGTGATAAGCCGTAGTTAGTTTTGTCATAGAAGGTGAAACTGGCGGAGGAGACTGTTGGGGTGGCTCCTGGAAGACAAACAGAATGTGGGAGAGTGGAAAAACGGGGCATGGGATTTGGTATGGAATTCTAGGTTTCACAAATATGTATGGAGCATTGACAGACTTATGATGCAAGCACAGCTGGTCAGGCCTCCACTTTCAAAATCCTCAACTGCCGTATCATCCGCAATTCTTGAATGCAAACATAATGGTCTTACCGCGGATGCAACCATTTGAGGTCATGCCATAGCCAGTAGGACAGACGCAGTAAGGAGCCTTTCTGGTTAATGAGACAAGTGTGCATGTGGCGAGATTCGGACAGTTCCCGCAGGTTGCAGGTCCTGGTGAGCATGGGGTAGAGAAAAGGAGGGAATATTCTAGCATCAGTGCAACATTAGTGTAACTGCACTATATGTCGAACAGATAACAGCAGGCAAGCACAGAGGACAGCACAATGCAATGTGTAATAGAAAGAATACAACAGGCGTGGTGCTGTATAAACGAACTGGTTACGTGAGGGCAAAATGAGCGGGGAGCGGGAAAAAAGCGAGGGGGCTACATCAATATTCATTGATTGTTTTAAAAAGAGGGGAGAAAAGCAAGAGGGAGAGAGGATGGAGTGAGAGCTGGAAGAGGGATGGAGAGGGAAGGGGAGGTGGGGGTGGGTTGGGGGGGAGGGGAGGGGGGGAGAGGGGGAGGAGGATAGGGGGGTTTGAGGGAAGGTTCTATCAAAGGTGAGAGAACATTACATACCAACACAATCACCGTAGAGCCGTGTGTAGCCTGATTTGCATGCGCGGTGTGCCGTGCCATCCGCATCTTTCCAACAAACCTCCGTTAACGGAATCCAGCCAATAATAAGGCAATTATCTGGGGGAGAAGAGGGGGGGAGAACCGGAGAGGGGAAGGGGGAGGGGGGCGGGAGTGTCACTGAGTGTGGGGCATGTGTGGAACAAAAGAACGAGAGCGACAGAGGGGAAAGCGGAGAGGATGTACAGATGCAGGCTTGCCGCAGGTGGAGAGGGTAGAAGGAGGAGAAAGAGGGAGCGTGAGGAAACATAGAGCAGCAAAACACACAAGGACACGAAAGCACACTTAAACACACAGCAACACACAGCAACACACAGCAACGCACAGCAGCGCACAGCAGCGCACAGCAACACACAGCAACACACAGCAACAGACAGCAGCACACAGCAACACACAGCAACAGACAGCAGCACACAGCAGCGCACAGCAACGCACAGCAGCGCACAGCAACACACAGCAGCACGCAGCAACACGCAGCAACACGCAGCAACACGCAGCAACACGCAGCAACACGCAGCAACACACAGCAACACACAGCAACACACAGCAACACGCAGCAACACGCAGCAACACGCAGCAACACGCAGCAACACGCAGCAACACGCAGCAACACACAGCAACACGCAGCAACACGCAGCAACACGCAGCAACACACAGCAACACACAGCATCCTTACCTTTGCACGTCCTGGTATCGCTCTGCAGCGTGTAGCCAACGTCACAAACACAAGACGCCTCCCCCAACGCGTCCTTCACACAGTGACCGTGCGCACTACACGCTTTCAGAATGCATGTGTCTGCCATTGGGGGAAGACGCAACAGAGAGAATACACTCAAAGTGTTTGGACAATATATGAAAAGAGGAGAAGCAAATGGAACTGCGAATAGAAAGCGCACTATTGCACTACACCATGCAGCCATGGTAACCTGCCCACGTCATGCCATCCTCTGCAGCACACAAAACGCATCCTCTCAGCTTGTATGACCCGGCACAAAGACACAAACAGATTCTTCATGCATTGCAGGAGAGCACTGACCAACACAGCCGGTGTCGGTCATGGCGTAGCCCCAGTTGCAGTGACAGACGGCGAGAGACTCCTCCTTCTCACAGTACGCGTTCTCCCCACAGTCCATTATTGAGCACGAGTCTGTTGGGTCATGGCAAGAGAGAAATCACATGTGGACATGGCAGAACAAGGACAGAACGGTCGAGTGAGGACAGGAGTCTCTGCCTGTATGCAAGTTCAAGAGGACTTCGGTTGCAGCCAGGAAGGTCAAAGTGAGAGGTTGACATGGCATGGGAGTAACCCCGAGGAACTCACGAGAGCAGGACGCGTTGGGCATGAGCCTGAGGCCCCTTTCGCACACACAGTTCGCCCAGCCTGCCTCGCTCTTGAGGCAGTTGGCGTTGGGGCCGCAGTTACGTACCACGCACACGTCTGCACTCAGGCACGTGGGGGCAGACAAGCACGTAAGGGCAGAACAAGGCATGTCGTCATTCGCCATCAGTGGCGACACACCATAACACCAAATCCAAAAGAGTGCAGAAAATGCAGCCCACAAAGACTGCAGTGGAGCAATGCTGCATTCACTCT